TTTTTTTTTTTTTTTTTTTTTTTTTTTGGTGGCTATTGTAAATGGGCAGGCTTTCTTGATTTCCCTTTCTGCATATTCACTATTAGAGAATAGAAATGCTACTGATTTTTGTGTGTTGATTTTGTATCCTGCTACTGTGCTGAAATCATTTATCAACTCCAAGAGTATTTTTGTAGAGGCTTTAGGCTGTTCGATATATAGGATCATGTCATCTGCAAACAGGGACAGTTTGACTTCATCTTTTCCAATCTGGATGCCCTTTATTTCATTCTCTTCTCTGATTGCTCTGGCTAGTACTTCCAACAGTATGTTGAATAGGAGTGGTGAGAGTGGGCATCCTTGTCTAGTTCCTGTTCTTAAAGGGATAGCTTTCAGCTTTTCCCCATTCAGGATGATATTGGCAGTGGGTTTATCGTATATGGCTTTAATTAGGTATAGACGGAAAGTTTCTCAACATAATTAAAGGCATATATGATAAATCCACTGCCAATATCATCCTGAATGGGGAAAAGCTGAAAGCTTTTCCTTTAAGAACAGGAACCAGACAAGGATGCCCACTCTCACTACTCCTATTCAACATAGTGTTGGAAGTACTAGCCAGAGCAATCAGAGAAGAGAAGGAAATAAAGGGCATCCAGATTGGAAAAGATGAAGTCAAACTGTCCCTGTTTGCAGATGACATGATCCTATATATCGAACAGCCTAAAGCCTCTACAAAAAAACTCTTGGAGTTGATAAATGATTTCAGCACAGTAGCAGGATACAAAATCAACACACAAAAATCAGTAGCATTTCTATTCTCCAATAGTGAATATGCAGAAAGGGAAATCAAGAAAGCCTGCCCATTTACAATAGCCACCGTTCCACAACTTATAATGGGTGGAGTGCTTACTGTGAGTCAGGACTTGATCCCTGCCCTTGTGGAGTTAAATGCTTATGGGAGAAATAGGTGAAGGACGAGTGAGCAAACATGGTAATTTCAAATTGTGGTATATACACGAAGAAAGCATACGTGGAACTGTTGGGGAGTATGACAGGAAAAGGGACAGGATAGTCTGGGTACTCACCCAAGTAAGGGAATCACAGAAGTTTTTCAAAAGGATGACACCAGGAAAGTGTGAAGGAGCCATCCATAGAAAGAGTGTGAAGAATAGTATTCTAGGCAGAGGAATTAGCATGTACAAAGTTGATGGATACTTTCTCTGGAATGACCCAGCTGTTTATTGACTATTGTAGCATTACAACATCATTTGGTGTTATACCTTTTATATCAAACATGTATTTCCAAACAAAATACCCAGTTCTGTTAAGACCATCAGTACACGTGTTTGTCAGTGTCTTTTTTTTTTCTTTCAAAACAGTTAACAGCACGTTTTTAATTTTAAAGTAGTGTCATCTACCGGTGCATGATGCCCAACCTAGATTTCTTAAGTATGAAAGAAAATCTGGGAAATCTTCTGGTAACCAGTGTGATTGCATATGATAGATCAATAAGCAATTTCAATTTTTCCACACTTCTTAAATTCTGTTATTAAGATCTCAAAGGTGACAATGTCTTCATCGCATCAGCTTCCCATTAAAGTTTTTTTCTAGAATAACTTTAAAAACAATGGAATGAATCCTAAGAATCTGTTATTCAATTGGGAGATAGTTTTCCACCTGTTGGAAATGTGGTTCCCAACCTTTTCTGTGTTTCTGTGATACTTGGAGCTGCTGCTACTCCTGCCTGGGCTGCAGGATCAGGCTGCAAGGTCCTTTTCTGGGCTTCCACATTCGACACTACTCATAGCCCTGCACCACCCTCATTTACATATGCTAGCAGTCAGAATAGTTGTGTAAATGGACTTCATTTTTTTAATCTGAAGATTTAAGGTAGCAAGCTAGTGAGGAGCGACTGATAAAAAGGATACATTAAGCTTTAATAAATGGGGCCTTCACTTTTTATTTGAAAAAGCACTGGTTGAACTGTAATTGGGAAGACTATGAAATTAATGAATAGGTAAGAAAATGCTGTGAACTTATAACAAGAGGAGTAGTTAATCTAGAGAATCCTTTTTTCAAATACCTTAGAAACTCATAAGAAGTCTAACTGTAACATATCTACTAGTTTAATGCTAATAAATTTGATATATTAATTTAGAATAATTCATATTATATAAATTTTCTACTTAGAGAAAACTTCTCTCTGTTTTTTTTACCTTAATGGATCTGAAATTTTATGGTAATATTAAACGAAAGATCATGCATGCAGAAATATTATGGTAATTTTAAAATTATTTACATTTGAAAGGTAGAGACTTCTTTTTGTTTTTAAAGTAACCTCAGTAGAACTGTCAACCCCTAAACAAAGATTTTTAAGTTTTATTTCTCTGAGGATAAAGTTTGAGGCTCAAATATCATGACCTAACTTTCACCAAACTGTTTTTCTTTCTTTCATTGACATACTTATATCACTCTTTAAAAACTTTTTAAAATTTTGTAAAATATTTCATACAAAAAAATATATACAATGCAAAATTTAAAGAAAAATTAAATGAAAACATCTGAACAATCACCCAGCCAATATATAAAATATTATTTATGTTTTCCATATCTCCTGTGTAGTTCCCAGTTGTATTTTCCTATGTTCCTAAAGAAGTAACAACCATCATGCATTTTATGCTAATTATTCATTTGTTTTTCTTTATAATGTTATCACATTTATATGAGTCCCTAAACAATAACATGTATATTCTTTAGCATGCTCGTTTTAAAATTTTATATGAATGGAATCATTCTGTATATGTTCTATAAGATGATTTGTTGTTATTCAACATTATGTTGAAATTCTTTCTTTGTTATAACCAGCCGTAGTTCATTAATTGTCAAGTGCCAATAGTATTCCATTATTTGGATATGCCACACCTCAACTTATTTATTCATTACCCTTTTGGTGGATATTTGGGTTGTGTTTCAATTTTTACCTTTCAAACAGTGTGATGCTGTGATTATCCTTGTACATGTCTCCTGGCACACATTTACAGAAGTTCATACAGACTTAACTAGGTTTGTGTGTGTGTTTGTGTGATTATCAAGGAGGAGCCCAAGCAAAATTTTTATTTTCTCAAATAAATATTTTTTAATTAATTAGGCCAAATTAGCAGCATAAGAAATAAAATGAATAATTAGATCTTTTAAGTACTGGAAGAGATTTTGTGTAATGATTATCCCTAAATTAAAAATCATTTAGATGAGAAATCCATGTGCTTGATGTATTTGTTTCTACTTTTGTTCTCAGTGGTATCCAAATGAAGAATTCATCCATTAGGCTGTATTTGTTTATTGGGCCATTTTATCTATTAATATAACTAATATTTGAATAGACCTATACAGTTTATAAGCATTTTTTACAGACTCTGTTCCCTTTTAGTTTCACAAACACCTGAGGAAGTAGTAGTTGTTATTATTATTATGATTTTTACTCCTTTTTCTTAGATGCATAAACTAATGATCTTTGAGATTAACAGACTTGCCTAGATTTCAGTCTCTATTACCTCTCTAAACATACTATATATCATTAATATTCTACAAATACCTTTTTCTATGTATAATAGAGTAGATCAGTATGTTATCATTTCTTTGAAAATACTTATTCAGATTTAAATTTATTCCACAGTTCCATCTCTCTTATGCAGAGAAAGAGTTGTTGGAGAGAGAGCCCAGAGGAGAAGCCCATCAGGAAGTTCTTAGGCGAGCAGCCAGAGACCTTCCCATCTATACCAGGACCATGTCTGGAGGTAAACGTCTGTAATGGGTGCTTTGGAACAGTATCCACATAATGTGTTGTGGTGACTGTTAGCCAGCAGATTTATATACTTGAAACTGTCAACCACTCATTTCAAAATACTGTTATTTATTGGATTGCTGTTAAATCTTTCTTGTAGAATTCTATAAAACAGAATGAAAATATGAATAAAACTGTGGCTATTCGTTTGTAGTACTACTCATTTTTAAAATTTTAATTATAGACTTTCCTATTCATATTTAATTTAAGGGAGCAATATCTATAATAAATATCAAATTAATAATTTCACATGTACTTTTCATACATTTAAAACACTATATAAATTATGTAAAACAATTTAGGGATTGGTATAATTTCCTTATCCATCTTAAAATTTGTACTAATTTTTTACAAATGTAACTAAATTAATAAATCTCTTACTAGGGTCATATTTATAAGGTAATTTAACAACTAATTGAACAGTTGTCTTAAAAACTGACACACATGGATTGTTGATACTCCCCCAGAAATTTTCATCCAGAAAAGACTCGTCCAGAAATTTTGTGACTTTAGACCTGTGCCTGCTCATTTGGTAGTCACTAACCCAGTGTGGCTATTGAGCACTTAAAATGTGGTAGTCCAAATTGTGATGTGCTTTAAGTATAAGAGACACAACTGGTTGCAAAGACCTAATATGAAAAATATATAAAATATCTCATTAATAGTTTTGTATAATTTATATTTGTTTCTAACACACTTTAGAACCATATCTAACTCTAAATCTCCACGTAATTTCTATCCTGTTTATTTTCACTGTTCCTCAATGATCAAGGGGTAATTTCCTGATTATGTTGTGAGGCTGCCCCACAGAAAAGGAACCAGAATACCCAACTGAGAATTTAAAAGGGGGTTTTTATTGGCTGGCTGGCAACTGTTCCTCCAAGAAAGTCTTGGAAGGAAGCAGCCCTGAATTGAAGTTTAGAAGGATTTTTAAAAGGTACATTTTTACATTAGTCACACAGTTATAGTTATCATATAGTTACACACATACATACATACCCTCCTGGCGTGAGGAGGGGGTTTGGGGAGGCCTAGCGCAAGCTGATAACAGAAGATGAAAGAAGCCAGTTAATCACTTAGGGATGACAAAAACTTTCACAGGGCGGTTTCCTCCTTAGGTTGTCTAGATACATCCAGATACAGCTCCTGGTTTTATCAGTCAGGGACAGCATAGGCGGGAAACAGCAAAGGCAGGCTAATATTTAGCTTTTAACTTCTATCACGATGGGGCTAAAGAGCCAAGGGGGATTTTAAACAACAATTTTTAAGCAATTCAAACACTATTTAAACTTAATTAATCTATCTTGTCACACAGCAAGCAGTTTCACAGAAGCATATGTTATGAAAGTGGGGGTCACCCTATTTCAATTAATATTATGCCACTTTGTCGGGTTCTATCCCACAAAGACAGAAATGTGCTTATGTATGTTTATGTATATTTACCTGATAAGCCTAAACAAATACTGAGGACATTTAAGCCCCTTAAGAATAAATTACTGCCTGAGTTTCCAAAGCTAGTTAATAACAACACCAAGTGCAAAAACCTGGTCTCCTTTTTCTAGTCCAGTGCTTTTCTGCTATTTATCAAAAAAGTTTTAAATTCCATAAGTAACATATGAATAAATCCTTTAAAAATTCAAGCCAGGAAGTTAAAATAAAATTCCCCTTTGACTGGTAGTTTTTAAATGATAATGAAATGATTCATTTTATTTTATTTTATTTATTTATTTTTTTGGTCCTTTTTGAGACCGGCCGCACCACGCTCAGCCAGTGAGTGCTGTGAGCACACCGGTCATCCCTATATAGGATCTGAACCCGCAGCAGGAGCGCTGCTGTGCTCCCAGCGCTGCACCGCACTCTCCTGAGTGCGCCACGGGCTCGGTCCGAAATGATTCATTTTAAATCACAGTGGGATGGTTTTAGTCAAACATAATATGACACTTAGAGTGTTTTTTAATTAAAAAGCTAAATTTCTATATATGAAATAGTATAAACAAAAAAACTTATTTCTGTTTTGATTTCCTGTGAGTTATTGCTCTACTTTGATTTGAAAGGTTTTTTCCTGTGTACATTATAAAGTAGAGACAAGTAGCATCTGAAGAAAATCTAGATTTGCCGACTGAAAATGACCTGGAAATTTTGTAACTTTGGACCCATGCTGTCCAATATGGTACCCACTAGCCCCTTGGGATTATTAAACAATTAAAACAAGCCTGTAAGTATAAAATACATAACTGGTTTCAAAGAGTTAGTAAGACAAAGGAATGTAAAAAGTATCATTAATTTTTTTATATTGATTATATGTTCAATTAATATTTTGGATATATAAGGTAAAATAAAATGTTATTAAAATTAACTTCCCCTGTCTCGTTTTGCTTATTTTAATGTAGCTACTAGAGAATTTGAGAGTATACATGTGGCTTACATTATATTTTCTGGACAACAGTGAATGAGCCAGTAATACTTTATAGCTTCATTTGGAATGTACCTGTGGGACTTCTTCATTCAGGTGATGAGCAGGACATGCCATTCATCTCTGCAATTCCTGAAAAGGGAAGTTTTCAGGGAATGATTAAGACCATATTTCAGTACTGAAAACAACTCTCTAGAGGCATTGCTGGCTAAAAAGAACTCACTTAATTCTTAGTTAATCGCAACTGTTTCATTTTTCAAGGATTATAATATTAGCTAATATAATATTGGTAATTATTTGTTGCAAATAATTCTTCCTAACTCTAAATTCATTGGTTAGGTTTTACTGATCCTCCTGGACTATCCACTTAATAATTGCTTTCCTATAATTTTGGTAGACCACTTGCATCCTGTAAAGTGCTTGTGTACTGAAATAGCATCTTCAAATCAGTCATCCATAATTGTCTTTGATATATGTATTAGAGAAGAAAAGATCAGGGCTTCAGATGCAAGAATTAAAAATCTCTATTGTAAATACTTCCACCAATAATCACTTGTATCTCACCCAAAAGAGATGTGAGATCTTTCTCAATTTAAGAAACTAATAATTTATTCATGAATTTCTAAAATGTGTTTCTATGGTTGTGTCCTTACCTAGTTGTCTTAGCAAGGCACAGGAAATAAATTGACTTAATTGAGGGAGACATTCTATTTACTTTGATAGAAATGGACATATATTTGTATCCTTTCTGAGCCCTATTATATAACTGCTGACAAATGAGAATGCCGTAGAAAAATTTCCCCAGGAGATTCTCTATTTTGGGGAATTCTGTCCAGAGCACTGTTTATATTTAAACAGAGTCAAATATCTTGTTTTTACCAAATTTAAATTCAGTGTGCTTTTTAGAATTTAAATTTGGAGAGATGATAAAAGCCATTGAAGTGTATATTCAATTCGATGTTAAGTCTAAGACTAAGTGGAGCTTTTTGTTCCTAGCAATCCGATATTGTGACAGATGCCAACTTATAAAACCAGATCGCTGCCATCACTGTTCTGTCTGTGATAAGTAAGAAAACCTTTTACTTCTGAAATATCTACATGCTGGTGGTCCTTTTATTTAGTATGTTTCTTTTCTCATTGTCTTCCAGATTATCTCCTTTTCTCCTTATTCATGCTTCTCAGACCTTTATTTGGGAAATATAATTGGTATAATCACTTGCATTAATACCAGTGTGTCTTAGGGCCACAGTCAGTTGTCCCTTTTTCCCCAGATTCATGATGATATGAAGTGCATGATTTTTAGTAGTTCTGACTTGGCTAGTTCAATTTAACAAATTCTTCTGTGACTGTTTTCCATCTTTATAAAGATGACTCAGTTGACCTCATGACAGTCAGATATTGTTATATATTTAGTATACTAAAGGACATTACTACTTGGTTTAAGGATTGATATTAAAGGAGAAGTTTTATCCAGACTTTACATAAATCTGTTGATGTTTTGTACTTTCTTTAGCACAGTATACTTGTGTATTAATATATTACATTGTTTTTAGAAAATGAGCTGATTTGCATCTTAAAGCATGTGTATTTTGAATTTAAAGTTCTATTATTATATCATAACTAGAATTGGCTATATTGTTTATTTTAGATGAGAACTTTAGCTGTTATTTAATTTTTAGATATGTAAATAATTTTGCAATATTTTACCTGCCAGAGCTCTTTGAAATAAGTGTTTTATAAATTTTCTTTTTATAATTTAATGTGATTAAAATTTTGTGGGTGTTGTGTTTTGTTTTGCTTTTAGATGTATTTTGAAGATGGATCATCATTGCCCATGGTGAGTATGGCTCTATACTTATAAACACACTTCTGTCCCTTATAAATTTTAATTAATTCAATTGATTATCTGCTTAAATATTTTCGTAAATGAAATATTACCTTTGCTGACATAGGAGGTACTTTTAGATTTAGTTTCTAACATTTGTTTAATTAGATCAAAAGAGCCTTTATTCAGGAGAATTTCCATGAAATAATGTTAAAACCAGTAGGTTAACAATATTAAAGTTAATTTTGCATGTTTGCTCAGAATAACATTTTTTTTGTATGCACATGCATAAACAGAGATTCTAAAATACTTCCCAGAATAGTACACAAATATGTACACATAAATTGCACAATACTTAACTTGAAGTTTCTGATAAAGAATTAAGTCATCTAGAGTATTAACAATTTATTATAAATAAAACTCGACATTGAGTAGAGTAGCAAACGTACAAATGTGTTTAAACAAGACTTTCTACTTAGAATTCATTAATGTTTTCTAATATTTCTAAATCATAAAATTAGGTAACTTAATAGAGGATTATTTGAAAGATCTAATTAATGAAGGTTGATTTCCCTGCCTTTTTTTGTAATATTTCATCTCAGTGTGCACATACTTCTGACAGCCATGCTAAGGTTGAAAGCCAGATTGGATTTGGACATTAATCATACATGTTCTATAAGCCTTATCTTATGTCTGAGATGGCACTACAGAAAGGTAGACATGCCCAGAAGTCTGTACTAGGTATAGGTTGAAATATGTGTAGGGAAAAGTTCTCTTAGCACCAAGAATCAATAGGGGAATATGGGGTTTACAGTATACCATATCTCTCACCAGTATACCTCTTCCTTTTCTCTACCTAGATTTTCTCCTTTAAAGTGTCAAGGCTGTTCAGATCCTGTAAGAGTAATGTTCTTCAGAAAGAAACATGTACTAATTTACATTTGCATTCATTCTTTTGCTCCTCATTCTCTTCTCTCTGTCAGCAAGTGTCCCCCGAAATATCTATAATTATGTTTTCTTAATCCTCCTTATATTCGTGTGTTCAGCCCTCGTAGCAGATGCTGTCAGTGCCCACCCACACCCCTCCCCATGAGGTCAGGGCACCTGTGGTGAGCAGTCTCATGCTCACCAACAGCTCTGCATCTCAGGCACCGTGTTTCTTTGCTTCTCTGCCTGAGGGATCTCTTCTACCTGGTAGTTTACTCAGCTCACAAGCCAGGCAGTCCAGAAGTACCAGGGCTTTAATACCTCCTGGGCCACCCTCAACCATTGAGGGCCTGGCCAATCACACATGCTTTATTGGCATTTCTTCCTTCCTTGTCTCAAATAAACTGTACCCAACGTCTTGTCTCAGGGTCTGCTTTTGGAAAACCCCTACCTAGTATCCTCCTTTCTGGATAGCCGTGTACTCTAGATTACGTAGCAGAATGGTAAAGTAATCAGGGCCATAGAGTTGACAAGTTGACTCTGATTTCTCTGCCTTTAATAAGGGACTGTGATGATAAGGAATGAAGTGATGGAAACAATCAGGATTAATCCCAGCTAGTCCATACCTATAAAGCTTGCCATGTCCTTGCTATACATACAGAATTACAAAAATAGAAAATAATTATTTACCATATAGCAGTCTTTCTATACCTGCTATCAACTTAGCTGAATAAAAAGTTATTGTGTAATTTAACAATCTTTCAAATTTGACAAATTCTATTAAGTAAGTCGAGGGGAGCAGACATAAGAGCAGATATAAGACTCTAGAGGTTTTGAAAATAGTCTCACATTGTGTACCTGCATGCTGGCTGCTATTGCTCTCACCCTTTAGAAGCCGTGTAGAAGAAGTGAATGAACTGACTGCAGTCCTTTCGACTTCTGTGTGACTGCTTCTCTGCACTGTCACTTCCCATGCTGCAACCACTGACCCCCCATCATCTCAGTCCTGGCACTCTCCTGCAGAAAGCAGTAGCTGTGCCTATTTGGGAAGGATTTGATGCCAAGGGCCTAATATTCACCTAGTACCAGCTGATTGGAGCAGCCATTTGCTGTGGTTTATTCCACATTAAAATTTTAGATTAAAAAATTTATGGGTAATATATATTTGTTCTAAATTCAAAAATAAAAGAGGTGAGTGTGTCTTACCAGCCCCCACCACCACTTTCTTCCCCTGCTCACAGGGAACCAATGTTATTAACATCATGGGCACTTTTCAAATACAAATGTGCACGTGTGTGTGTAGCCTCCCCCCTCATTTCTTTTAACACAAATGGCTACACTGTAGACTGAATATGTTCCTTTTTCTTCTTCACTTAATATATCCTGGAAATGTAGCCATATCCATACGTTAAATTTTTTTTTTTTTTTTACAGCCATTATGTGAGTGTAACAGTCACTTGTTAAAGGACCTATAAGATGTTCCCAGACTGTGGGGCAGCCTTTTTATGTAGGTCTTGTACATGGCTTTTAACTTCAGTATCTGTCAGCTTTGAGCATTTGAAACATTAGCTAAACGATGCCTCTATATTTTTCAGTGATTTCAGCGTATGTGCTGTGGCCAGTTAAGATTATCCATCAGAATTCAGGGGATCAATCTCACACTTGTGTTTTAACTAAAGTGGAGATTCTGTAGTATTTGTTTTATTGGGTTTTCTATCAGGGAATTTTTTTTTCTTTTAGTATAAAATTTTAATTAGTTTATTAGCTAATTATGTTTATAATACTTTCACATGCTTACCAAAGGTTAGGTGACACAAATAAAAGTAAATAAATTTAGCTTCAGTAATGAGACCATACATATAATCTATAATGCTTATAACAGTGACAGAAAATTTAGAAATTATTTGTCCCATTTTAAAGGGGACGAGATTGAGGCTCAGAAAAGTTAAAGAGTGGATTTAAAGTCACATAGTGAGTTTTTTGGACTTCAAAGGTCACATTCTTTTCATTGTATTTTTTTCCAACTTAGACTCAGAATGCAATTGCTCTGAAACAAAGCCAACAGCTGTGTTTTACACTCAACCTAATATAAGATGGATATTTACCTAGAAGGTGTTTTATTTCTTTATGTGAATTCATTCCTTTTCTAGATGGAGGAAGCTCAGACTCAGTATAAGTTCTCTTCCTTTTCAAATTAAGTATACAGAGCAGTAGGCAGTTAAAATGTCAAACCAAAAGCTGTTATGAAGAGAGTAAGGTATTCAAAATAAATATTATTACTATATTTCCTCTAGTAGTATACATATCAAAACTCTGTGCTACACATATCAAACTCTAAAGTACATGGTCCTTATTTGCTGACTTTCTCCTGTTTCCCAGCTCTGACATGACAAATTATACTATGCTTTTAGGTAGAAGTTAAAGTAAGTTAAATTACATGTTACAAAATCTGTGATCAAAATCATTTTCTTTCTGTAAAAATGTTCTTATCGTTGAATACAAAAGCTCCTTCTTACATTGCTGTAGGAAGAGAAACAATCTTTCCTATCCCTTCTAATTTTCCCCTAGTCTACAAGTCGTTGTTTATACCCACATTGTCCAAAGGTTTATAGCACCCCAGCCTTTCTTCACCCGTTCTTGCCTCTTGAAACGAACATAAGCAAGCAAAGGGAATATCCTGTATCCTTTTGAGACAGAATACAAGTAGACTAGGCTAATTCTTTCCAATATTATTTCTTGCCATTATTTCATTCAGATGCTATAAAAGGTAATCTCAGCAACTGGTGGCATTCCCACTGGAACCTCTAGAGTTACAAATATAACTGTTTCCATACAATGTGTACCCACAATATTTGGCTTCTTTATGAATTCATTTGCCATATACAAGACCCTTAAGTACAAAAATTGCTAAATCTAATGCTATTCCCTTTACCTTATATTTTTGGAGGCAGAAAATGTAAACATTTTTTATGTGAACATAGTTTCATTTTTAAAAATCTAGAAAGAGGGCCGAGCCCGTGGCGCTGGGAGCGCAGCAGCGCTCCCGCCGTGGGTTCGGATCCTATATAGGGATGACCGGCGCTCTCACAGCGCTCACTGGCTGAGCGTGGCGCGGCCGGGCTCAAAAAGGACAAAAAAATAATAATAATAAAAATAAAAAATAAAAATCTAGAAAGAGGGCCGAGCCCGTGGCGCTGGGAGCGCAGCAGCGCTCCCGCCGTGGGTTCGGATCCTATATAGGGATGACCGGTGCTCTCACAGCGCTCACTGGCTGAGCGTGGCGCGGCTGGTCTCAAAAAGGACAAAAAAATAATAATAATAAAAATAAAAAATAAAAATCTAGAAAGAGATGTTTCATTTTATTAGCAAAGACAATAAAGAATGAGATTATTTTACCAATCTTGTACTGAGAACAGTGACATTTGAGGAAAGAAACAATACATGTATGTTCTATGCAATAGGTTTATCGTACCAGTTAACAAAGAGTTAACCAGTAAAGATGTCAGCCAGTCCCACTTAGGTGGTATATAGAATTATATAACGTCATCCAGTAATGCCCTTGTCTTTATGAAAAGGAAAAAAGACTTTGATGGAAGGAAAGTGTGACTATAAAATGAGTTGTGTTTCTGTTTATGTTTACTGATTTGATAGTTTGAATTCTAGCCCTGCCCCAATATAATGATTTTAGAGTAAGAACTGAGAAGTTATAAATTTGCATATTTAGACTCATAGAACTTAGAGCTTGCTTTCAGAAATGATCTCAGAATGCTTATTTTAAAGATAAGAAAAAATGAAATTCTAATAGACTATCTCACTTCCTCAGAGCCACGTAATTATTTAGCGTCAGATGAGCATTACCACACTGGCTGTGTGGCTCCCAGCCTATTTCTTTTCTTAAATCTCCCATTTAATATGCTTTTACAATCTGGTTGCTTCAGTAATGGCATGCAAGGAGTAGTTTGTGAAGATATTTCATCTAATTTGGGAAAATATAAAAGATTTTAGCTTACTTAATCACAGTTGGAAATCAAACCCAAAGACAACATAGAGGAAGGATTTGGTAGATTAATCTGACTTGATTAGGTTTCTCACAAGCCCTTGCTTTTAGGCATGTGCTTATTTGTTATAATTGGACGTGAAATGTAATTACATTGTTCATGATTGATTAAAGCAATATTAAATATCATGCTTTAAAAATCCAAACACAAACATTCCTTTTTAGTGAAATGGATTTTTAAATGTTTGTATGTATAAAGAAATCTTATTATACTTAAAGAAATGCCAATAAATTTAAAAGAGAGATAACTAAATACTGTATTAAGTTTGAGCATATGCTTATGTATGCCCATGCTGAAGATGTAAAACTCATTGAAAATGTTTGTGTTTTGTTGACAGGGTGAACAATTGTGTTGGATTTTCAAATTATAAATTCTTCCTCCTTTTCTTGGCTTATTCTCTGCTGTACTGCCTTTTTATTGCTGCTACAGATTTACAGTATTTTATCAAATTTTGGACGGTAAGTGCAAAACCAGCTCTTTGGTGATTTTTTTTTTTTTTCAGTGTATATAGATTTTCAGTAGAGAATTATTTCAGACACTGATTTATAGAATAGAGCTAATTTGCATACAGTCAGTCCTCATTATTCACAGATTCTGTATTTGTTATATCACCTACTCACTATAATTTATTTGTAACCCCTAAATTGATACTGACAGAGCATTCATGGTCATCTGCAGACTTATACAGAATGGCAAAAATTTGAGTTGCCCCATGTGCACATTCCCAGTTGAGGTCAAACAAGGCATCTCTGTGCCTTCTTGTTTCAGCTCTCTTACTATAAACAAATGTGCTTTTCACAGTCTATTAGTGCCATGTTTTTTGCATTTTGTGCTTTTTGTTGGTGATTTTGTTGTTAAAAATGGTCAAGCATAGTGCTGAAGTGCTGTCTGATATTTCTAACAAAAGAAGACTGATGTGTCTTACGGAGACAGTACACGCCTTAGATAAGGTTCATTCAGGCATGAGTTACAGTGTTGTTGGCAGTCAGTTTTGTATTAATGAATCAACAATATATATTAAGTAAGGTGCCCGTTTGCAGAAACACACAAGGTCATGTGTAGTAACCAGTGGACAAAGATGTGACCAGAGGCTCATGGAACTCAACTCTGTCTTTTCTCTAGGGGCAGCAGTTCAATATTCACAGTGTTCCTGGCAATTTTATCAAATGTAACTACTGCAAATTACAAGAACTGACTATATAAGAAGTTTATTTCAGTATTTTAAAATAGAAGTGTTTTCCTTATGTAAGAAGGTTATTTTTTAAACTGTTATGTTTGTAATGTCCTGAATTTTTATTAGGTATTGCTTGGTTAGGCTTCAGGTAACTTATTTTTTTTCTACAGTATGTTTTTTAAACGTAGGCAAAACCAAGTTAAAATTGAGTGTTTTAAATATCCAAGGATACTCCTTGTAAGCACCAAATGATGATAAAAAGCAGTTTGTCCCCTGCCAGGGTTGCTTTATTATGTTCATTAAGTTGTCCTTTGTTATGGTGAGAGTTTCTGAAGTACTTGATCATTTACGTGGGAGTTGAACCCAATTTAATACCAAAGGGTTATTGAATGCCTACTATGTGCCAGTTACATTACTAAGCACTAGAAATGGACATGCTCCTAGCATTTAAAGATACTTCCAGTGTACAGCTTGAAGAATGATCCCTAATGAATGTCCGGGAGAATGTTACCTTACTGCTGCTTATTCCTATGGATGGTTTCAAATATTTTTGAAAAGGAGTGATCAGGTTTTCACTGTGCAGAGACCCTGCTGTCAAAAGCTGTCAGTGAGATCTTGTGACCTGTGTCAATCTGACAGGTAGTACATGATATTCAAGCATTATGACTTTCTATTAGAAAGGGCCACCTACTGGTAGCTCTGGCCGTGTACTAAGTGTTCACAGCTCAAGCTCTCCATTCCAGTGCAAGTCCAGGTCTCCATGGACATAACAGTGAGTGAGAGTCAAACTCGTTTTGCTTTGAGATGGACTGTTTCAGCCCGTGGGTTTTATAAGGTTTACTTTAGACAGTTGTTAGGCACTAGAGTTGATCTTTTCTGTGAAACTATTATTTAAAATACCTTGAAACATTATTGTGGATGTGTTGTTGTATGTATTCTTTTAGCTGATGCTGTTGTTTGTAGTAACGCAAAACATCAATGAGAATAGTAGCTAAATTGTGCCAGTTAACCTTCATTCTCTGGCATTAAAATAAAACTATTTAAACATCTGTGAATCCGTAGTGTGTTAAAACATGTTCAGGTAGTAAATTTGAAACTATATTTTATAGGTTCCTCTTGTCTTGCTTCCTGCCGTTATTGCTCACACGTATACTATCATAATTTTTCTATGATTAGTTATGCAGAATAAAATAAATATCCAAAATTTTAATATATTTTCTATATAGGTATTCATATTCCAATAAACATTTATTTTAATCCAATGAAATATATACATATATATATTTCCCCTAAAGTTTTAACAGAAAGCTATGTATCTTTTCTCTCAATATAAAAAATATTTGAAGCCCCCCCAAAAAATCTTACTAATTTCCTTATAAAAATAGGGGAATACTTATCCCTTTGACAAAACATTTTATTTTCTTCCTTTCTTTATAGAATGGCCTACCTGATACTCAAGCCAAGTTCCATATTATGTTTTTATTCTTTGCTGCAGCTATGTTTTCTGTCAGCTTGTCTTCTCTGTTTGGCTATCATTGTTGGCTAGTCAGCAAAAATAAATCTACTTTAGGTGAGTATCCACTTATTGTAGTAGACAGAACTTTAAATACATGTAAAGATATTCAGTTAAAATTGCCATACGGTTAAATGCTGTCCTGTCCTGAAGTGGTAAAAATCATTCTCATTTCCCCACATTTTTTTGTGGGATGTCACTTGGACACATATAAGTTCACTCATTCCATGTACTTATTGACTATTCATTGTGTGTAAAGCATTATGTATATACAGTAGTGAGCAAAAGCAAAACAATCCAGTGAGGGGCACAAAAATTAATAACCAAACATAAAAGTAATTACAAAATGCTTTGAAGGAAACAAACAGGATGCTGAGGTATGAATAAAGGGCTGGAGATGGTGGGAGGGAACCTACCTAGAATGAGTGGTCAGGAAGGAGCTCACCGAAACAAAAAGTACTTAACCTAAGAATTCAGCTGTGGAAAGAGCGAGAACATTTTAGGCAGAGAAAACAGAATGTTCACAAGCCCTACAGATCTGGGAAGCAGCAGAAGCAGTGCTTAGGGGGAAATGTATAGCTATAAATGCCTACGTTAAAAAATAAGATACATCACAATCAATAACTTTGCAACTTAAGGAACTAGAAAAAGAAGGGAAAAGTAAATCCAAAGCCAGCAGAAGGAAGGAAATAATAAAGATAGGAGGTAATGAAAATAGAGAATTAAAAATATATTAAAAAAATCAGTAGTTGATCCTGTGAAAATATCAATAAATTTGACAAGCCTTAGCTAGAAAGAAAAAAAGAGAATACTCATCATGAAAATTAGAAATCAAAGTGGGGACATTACTACTGATTTTACAGAAATAAAAAGGATTAAAAGAGAATACCATAACTATCATATGTCAGAAAATTAGGTAACTAAATGAAATGGACAAATTATTAGAAACATGTAAACTACCAAACTGACTCAAGAAGAAATAGAAAATCAATAAGACCTATAGCAAGTAAAGAGATTGAATCAGTAATAACACATCTCACAACAAAGAAAAGTCCAGGAAAAGAGGACTTCACTGGTGAATTCTACCAAACATTTAAAGAAGAATTAACACCAATTCTTCTCCAACTCTGCCAGAAATTAGGAGAGAAGGAACAATTTCTAACTCATTCTATGAGTCCAGCATTGCCCCAATTCCAAAGCCAGACAGAGTCATCATAAGCAAACTACAGACCAATATCCCTTTATGAATATAAATGCAACGATCCTTAACAAAATACTAGCATACTAAATCCAGCAACATTAAAAGTATTGTACACCGTGATCAAGTGGGATTTATCCTAGGAATGCAAGGGTATTTCAGTATACCAAAATCAATCACTGGTAATATACCATATTAATAGAATGAAGGGAAAAATACATGATCATCTCAATTGATGCAGAAAATGTACTTGACAAAATCCAACACCCTTTCATAATAAAGAAAAGAACACACTTAACAAGGAATAGAAGGGGATTCTTCAACCTGATAAAGAGTATTTATGAGAAATCTACAGCTATCATTATACTTGGTGGTGAAAAACTGAAAGCTTTCTCCTTAAGATCAGGAACAAAACAAGGATGCCCTCCTTCACGACGGCTATTCCACGTTGTACTGGAAGTTCTAGCCAGCGCAGTTAGTCAGGGAAAAGGAATAAACGCATAGAAAAGAAAGAAGTAAACGATCCCTATTCACAGATGACATGATCTTATATATAGAAAACCCTAAAGAATTCACAGTAAAAAATATTGGCAGTCAAAAACAAAATCTGAAAAGTTGCATGATGTAAGATCTGTATACAGAAAAATTAGTTATATTTCTGTACATTAGCAAGGGACCATCCTAAAAGGAAATTAAGAAAGCAGTTCTATTTACAAAAACATTCAAAAGAATAAAAATAGTTAGGGATAAATCTAACCAAGAAAGTGCAACACTAGCACACAAAAACTACAGTTTTACTGAAAAAAATTTTAAAAGACCAAAATAAATGGTAAGACTTCCCATGTTCATGGACTGGAAGACCTAATGTTAAGATGGCAGTACTACTCAAAGTGACGTACAGATTCAGTGCAATTTTAATGCCCCCTCCCTTTTTTGTGTGTAAATGGAAAAGCTGATCCTCAAATTCATATAGAATTGCTGGAGACCCTAAATAGCCAAAACAATATTCACCAAAAAGAGAACAAAGTTGGAAGACTCACATTCCTGATTTCAAAACTTACTACAAAGCAAAAGTGGTTAAAACAGTGTGCTACTAGCATAAGGATAAACATATAGACCAATGGAATAGAATTGAGAGTCCAGAAATGGACCTGTACATCTTTAGCCAATTAATTTTTGGCAAGGGTGCCAAGGCCATTCGGTGGGAAAAGAATAATATTTTTAACAAATGGTACTGGGACAACTTGATATCCATATGACAAAGAATGAAACTGGACTCTTACCTCACTGTATACAAAAATTAAAATGGGTCAGTGACCTAAACAGAAGAGCTAAAACTATAAAGCTTCTAGAAGAGGACATAGGGATAAATCTTTAGGACTTTGAATATGGCAATGAATAACACCAAAAAGATGAGCAACAAAAGAAAAATAGGTAATATAGACTCTATCAAAATTAAAAACTTTTGTGCATCAAAAGACAGTGTAAAGAAAGTAAAAAGACAACATACAGAATGAGAATAATTGCAAGTTATAAATCTCATAAAGGCCTAGTAACCAGAATACACAAAGAAATCTTACAACTCAACAGTGAAAAGATGTACAACCCAGTTAAAAATTGGCAAAGGATTTGAATAGGCATTTAAATAAACATTTCTCCAAAGAAAATATACTAATGGTTAACAAGCACAAAATAATATGCTCAATCAACATCATTTAGTTATTAAGGAAATACAAATCAAAACCACAGTGATACATGATTTCACACCTACTAGGATGGCTGTAAAAAAAAACAAAAAACAGTAAGTGCTGATGAGAGTGTAGAGAAATTGGAACCCTTATACACTGTTGGTAAAAAAAGAAAATTCCACTGAAAAACAGTTCAGCAGTTCCTCAAAAAGTTACACATAGAATTATTATACGACCAGACAGTTCCACTATTAGGTATATACCCAAAAGAATTGAAAACAGGGACTCAGGTACTTGTACACCAGTGTTCATAGCAGCATTATAAACAATAATCGAAAGGTAGAAACAACCAAATGCCCATCAAAGTATAGAGAAAATGTGGCATATCTATACAGTGGAATATTATTCAGCCATAAAAAGAAATGGGCTACTAATACATGCTATAATATGTATGAACCTTGAGAACACACTGAGTGAAAGAAGCTGATCACAAATGATTATGTATTGTATGATTCCATTTATATGAAATATCCAGAATAAGTAAATCCACAGAGAAACATCATATTAGAGGTCACCAGGGGATGAGGAGAGGGGAGTGACTTAATTGGTATGAAACTTCTTTGGGGGTGACAAAAATATTCTGGTACTTGATATAGGCAGTAGTTACACAAAATTGTAAATATACCAAGTGCAACTGAATTGTTCAATTTAAAATGGTTAATTTTGGGCCAGCCTGTGGCTCACTTGGGAGAGTGTGGTGCTGATAACACCAAGGCCATGGGTTCGGATCCCTCTATAGGGATGGCCAGTTAGCTCACTTGGAAGAGCGTGGTGCTGACAACACCAAGTCAAGGGTTAAGATCCCCTTACCAGTCGTCTTTTTAAAAAATAAAATAAAATGGTTAACTTTATGTTCTATGTATTTCACTTCAATTAAATTTTTAAAAAGCCTTAAAGGAAAAGAGGAAAAAAGCTAGGAATATTTGAGAAACTATACGTGTGGTTGGAGCATAGAAAGCTAAAGAATGAGATACTCTATGCTAAATTTAGGAGTTTGGGAATGCAACCAGGACTTATAAATCCTTACGATCACAAAAGACACTTTAAACTGTGAGATTCCATTATTATAATATACAATGAAGATGAATTGTTAATTATGCTAATTTTTAATATTCAGGTGAAATCTTACTACAGTAAATACTTTAGGGTGAATTTATTGGTATAATAAAGTAATTCCTAAGCAAGGTATCTCATTTCAAATTATGTATAGGACAATGAAATTACAATTTAACAAAAGTAAATAAATTGTTTCTAGAAGTTTTTAACTTCTTAAAACTTCTAGATTTAGCTTGTAGCACTGAAAGGAGTTTGGATGATATGGTCGTATAATTTAAAAAATGTTTTATAAGAAGCTATATTCCTGGGGTGACAGATGCTAAGGATCGTGCAAATTGCCACATTTTTCAGAGTACCTGACTGTGCCAGTTAGATTTTCTTTTTAAAATAATGGATAAAATTATGCACTGTATTTCTATACTTGCTTATGCTCCAAAAATAAAATTTTAGATTTTGCATTTCAGCATTATTCAAGAAGAAAATGTAGCATTATGGAGGGAACATTGGTGACCTTGATCAAGTCCTAGTTCTGTCGCTTATTTGTTGTGTGACCTTGGGCAAGTCCCAGAGCCTCTCTGAACCTCAACTTCAATATGCAAGTGGGCAAAATCAAATGCAAAGTGTGGTTGTGGATTGGATGCTGGTTTGGACAAACTAGCTTTAAAGTACATTTTTGAGTCAGCTGGAAAATTTTTGTGATTATATGAGATAAAATTTCAATGAAATTGGAAAATGGAGTTTATTGATTCAAAAAAGTAGTTTGTGGAATGTATGTATAGTCTCATTTTGGTTTAAAAAACAATGTAGATTTGTATATACCTCTGTCTATCTACCTATCTACCTACCTCTATATCTAAAGATCCAGAGATGTGAAGTTTTAATTTATTTGCTAGTTCGTGTTTTCTAATTTTCTGCAATGCACGTGTACTGCCATAATAATAAAAGGGTTATTTAAAAATTAAAATAGGAGTACTGATAGCTTATGATATTTGAAAAGTAATAGACAGCCCCTATTTCAGGGCTGTTTATAGGCATATAAGTACTCACAGGAAGCTGGCCATTCATCTTCAGTTTCCTCATTTAATTCAATTCTTTCTAAATATTAGGGATTACTAGTAAATATGTTCTATTCTCACATGATTGCTTTCCATCGTTTTAGAGGCATTCAGAAGTCCAGTATTTCGACATGGAACAGATAAGAATGGATTCAGTCTGGGTTTTAGTAAAAACATGAGACAAGTTTTTGGGGATGAGAAGAAGTACTGGTTGCTACCCATTTTTTCAAGGTACTTTGTTGTTTAATTTTTCAGGAAAGTAATCCAGCAAAAGATAATTTTAGACCCTGACCTGATTATTATACAACATATATATTTATCAAAACATCAGACTGTACCCCATAACTAAGTACAATTACAATGTGTCAATTCAAATAAAAATTTTTTAAAGAAAAGATAATTTCAGGAAAAGCCTCTAGTTCCATAGATCTATAATTCTACATAGGAACTCATATTTTTTAAAGTATTATTTATGATTCACTATTATATAAATGTGAAAATCAGTTAATTCATCAGTTCCCTAAATATAAACACTGTATTAAAGCAATATCTGATACACGTTTTGCCTATAATATAACATGTTTTGCTCTCAGACATCAGTATTTTAACAGGGTTTCACTCTGTCGTCTTTTTTGTGATTGCATTGTTAAGTTTTTATTTTGCTTATAGTCTAGGTGATGGCTGCTCCTTTCCAACTTGCCTTGTTAACCAGGATCCTGAACAACCATCTACTCCTGCAGGACTGAATTCAACAGCTAAAAAGTAATCCTGTATTTTTTTTTTTCCATTTTACTTTCAGATAATGTATTTTATTCTGTGTGTCCTTTGCTTATATGTTTCTTTGAAAAAAAATTTTAATAACATACGATAATTGACTACAGTGGTTTCCACTTGGAATGAGGGAGAGAAGAGAGACTGATTGGGGCGGGATACATAAGAAACCTTGATTAAACTTGTAAAACTCTATTAATCTATGTGGTGGGTAAAGGGTGTTAATTCTTTAGTATAGTGCTTAAAAGAAAAAAGCGTGAGTCAAAATTTGCTCCCCACTGCTCAGGTGAGCAGATACTGTAAAATTCCCCTCTGACTCTCCAGTTCTTTCCTCTGTGTGGTAACTGTTAAGGAGACCAGAGAAACTTCCCTAGATCAGGTCTTTGGAGATCAAATGGAACCCCAACCTGACAATTCCACTAGCAATATGCACCATCCTCAGTGCTTTTTAAAGAGCTCTAAGCATTATCTGAGCCATTTCCATGGAGAAAGAAGGGAAGAGATCTTCGAAATTCATTGTCTGAACACTTTTGGTACAGCTTTAAGTTTGTTTTGATTCCAGTCTATCAAGAATTTGAGGTTGGCAACAGAAAAACTTAAAATTTGATTCTGAATTTGCTACTAACTGGCAAAAGGAAAAACTACTTAAGTTTTTAAATGCTACATATAAATTTTCAGTGGTTTGAAACATTAACTTTTATATCTGTATGGCAGATTTATTTTGAGTATGACCAAACCTTTCATTTTTAATTGAAAGCCAATAGCAAGAGCATAACCATAATATTATTCCTCATTAAATTTTAGAGATTTTCTTAGTTGCTCCAATAGCACATACACAGGACCTAGACCAACACTTCTTTTGTTCAGTGAGCATTTCTTACTGGTCACAGGACTTTTTACTAGGGAGCCTGGAGTGACCCCAAACTACTTCTCAAAGCAGTGCTTCTAGCACCATTTCAAAGTCATTTTACATTATCAAAAGTGATGAAACCTACCCACCACTCAATCCCTAGAGTGAGCAATGTATACACCAGACTCTACCCATTAGTGAAGAGGCCATTTTGATGTATTTCACAGGGACATTCAAAAGCATCAGAGTCTGTTTGTTACTGGATCATGCCCTGTGAGTTTGGGCTTGGAAATTCCACAGAGCCAAATGTTAATGGTTTTTCTTATACTTCAATACACAAAAATTCAGTTTGAATAAATTATTTAGAGTATATTTTTGAAGCTTTTAAAAAACTTATCGGTAGTTTACAATAATATTTTTTACCTTCGTTAAATGGCTTTTGTAGTTTAAGAATATTGGGGTTTTAGAGACAGTAACTCTCTTTCCACAAAGAGTATCATGGGGCTTTGGGAGAAATCCTACTCTGGCACTGTTATCCTGCTAGGTTATCTAGAAGAAGTCTAGGCCTCTCTTCTCTTTCCTTTAAATGCTGTCGTTAGATTTTGACAGCTAGCATCTCTTTCTTCTACAAAATTTTATAATTTCCCTTGTTTAGCGCATACAAAATTTCTTTGGCTTGTCCTGCTCTCTTCTGTATTCCAGAGTGATATATCTGATTGCCTACTTTACATACCCACTGGAATATCCAAAAGTCATCTCCAGCTGAACAGGTTCAAAGCATAACCTTGAATTTAATTCCCAGCCATTTATACGTCACCCTGCCCTAGAACTGATTCTCCTCTATTCTTTTTTATTTTATTTTATTTTATTTTAACTTCTCAATATACATTGTAGTTGATTTTTGTGAATTTTTTTTTTGGTTGCTGGCCCGTATGGGGAGATCCAAACCCTTGACCTTAGTGTTATAACACTGTGTTCTAACCAACTGAGCTCACCGGCCAGCCCCTCTCCTCTGTTCTTCCGTATGTCAGTATTAATGACCTCCACTCTCCCAGGTCTTCAGGCCAGAAACTATGGAGTAACCCTAGATTTCTCTCTTTCAATTGCCTTGTATTTATTCCATTTGCAAATCCTCTCAGATGCCCCCTTAAAATATATCTATAATCTGAATACTTTCTTAACACCTCCATGGCTGCTTTCCTGGTCCAAGCCATTATCACATCTCACAGGGATTGTTTCAATAGTTTCCTAACTGATCTTCCCAGCTTCATTTGGCCCCACTCCAGTCTATTCTCCATTGAGGATATAAATCAGATTGTGTTACTCTTCTGCTCAAAACCCTCTATTGGTTTCCCGTCTTACTCAGAATAAAAGTAATAAATGTCTTTACCATGGTTTACAAGACCCTGTCTGATCTGGCCCCAGAAGGCTCTCTGATGTCATTCCTTGTCACTTTTCTGTCACTCACAGCCCTCATACACACAGATCTTCCTGCTGTTTTTTTTTTTTTTTTTTTTTGCCTTTTTTCGTTGAAGGTATAGGG